CCTAAACCCGAAGCCCCTAAACCTCCAAACCCCTAAACCCCTAAACCCTAAACCCTAAACCCTAAATCCTAAACCCTCAACCGAGGCCAAAGATGCAGCTGGAGACCTTCAAAGATTGGGCCGGAGACCTGGCGTGTCCCTGTTGCACTCTCAGAAAAAGGATCCCCCAAAATAGGAAGCTGTAATCAAAACAAGACTACTAATAACTACTAATAATAATAAGACTTATAATCATAATAATCATAATAATAATGCTAGTAATAGTAATAAGAATAGTAGGAAAGGAACATAAAGGAACCCTTGCAACGAAGCCTAAGTTCATAGGAACCCTTCGCAGTTACAGCCGTTGTGTTTCGCTGCCTTTCGGTTTTCCGGGGCCTGGGGTGGCGGGCCGGTGGGTCTGTTGGGTCCTGCAGTGTAGGGTTTAGGGTTTAGGGTTTAGGGTTTAGGGTTTAGGGTTTAGGGTTTAGGGTTTAGGGTTTAGGGTTTAGGGAGACGACGAGGTGCGAATGACGTTGCCATTTCCTTTCACCCTTTCAGCATAGCTCGCCCTAGAACACATTGAAGCCCGACGTTCGCGGCACGGAGCCTACGAACGCCAAAGCAAGCTCAGCATTTGCCCCCTCCCCACTTGACCTCGCCGGCCGTCGCCATGAACCTGGCCTACTTGAGCGAGATCGGTGTGCCTGTTCCTTGACATCTTCGTTGCTGTCGGGCATCGGGTTCCCTAAACACTAAACCCCAAACCCCAAACCCTCAACCCTAAACCCTAAACCCCTAAACCCTAAACTGTTCATGCGTCCTGTGCTAGCAGGTTGCCTGCTCTTCGACAGCGTGTCGAACTCCCCTACGTGGAGCCCCACCCGTGCCGGCAGCGCAGCACAGAGATGGCTACGCTGCATGTTCCAGCGGAAAAGCCAGGCGCGAGAGGGGGAGGTGCTGTTGCATTTTTTTCTGCACCCTTGGCCTCAGGCCCGTGGTGACACGCTTCGCACCATCTCCCACAGGGTACCTGCACATTGGGGGAGCGAGGACGGCGTTGTTCAACTACCTGTGCGCAGCTTAGCCACGGTCTCGAATGCGCGGAGCCGTGCCGGCTGCGCCTGTCTGGTACTAAACTAAACCCTAAACCCTCAACCCTAAACCCCGAACCGTGCTTAGGTTTGCAAGACATCATGGTGGCAAGTTCCTGATGCGCTCCTTGGCCTGTGCTTTGCGGTAGCTCTCGCGGCCCAAATTTAGTCGAAGCGAGATCGAAGAGGCCTCTCCCTGAACTTTAAACCCTAAATCCTGAACTCTCGAGGCTTACTTGGAGGTTCATGGGTAGTTATAAGTGGGGTTATAAGCCCTCTACTATGGGTTCTAACTATAGTTACCTTGCTTATAACCCACTTATAACTACCCATGAACCTTCAAGTAACATCACGTAACCCTACATTCTAAAACCAAATCCCTACTCCCGAATTGTCAGGCATCGAGGACACCGACGCAGAGAGGCACAACGAAGCCGCCGTCGACGCCATCCTACAGGGGATGGCTTGGCTGGGCACGCCCCACGACGGAGAGATCGTTCGGCAAAGAGAGAACATAGGCCGGGCATGCCTGTATTGTAGGAACCTGATCCATAATCAAGACTCGAGGTTTCTTAATCAGGTTCCTACATTATATACATTGCATTTTGGTTTGGCATTTCAGGAAGGGCTTGAGCGCCATTCCGGCTGCGTCATGTGTGCAACATGCTAGAGCAGCGAGGACGGCACAAGGAAGTTGCAGCCCAACTTTTGGCGAATGGCGGAGACGGGAGCTCAGATCAGAATGATGGGGGGTTTAGGGTTTAGGGTTTAGGGGTTCAGGGTTTAGGGGTGGCTGTGCAGACGCTGGGAAATTGGGTCGGGGGATTCGTAAAATTGGAGGACGTGTGCTGGACTAGGGGACGCTTAGAATGGAGATCCTACATGATCCTACTCTAAGGGCTCTACCAGGGCCCCTTGGTTTCAGCAAACTCCCACGCACATCCTAAGACATACACCCTAAACTCCCTAAACTCCCTAAGCTCCCTAAACTCCCTAAACTCCCTAAACTCCCTAAACTCCCCAAGCTCGCTAAACCCTCAACCCTACAGCCATCTACAGCCTCTAAGCCCACCTGGCGTGCGAGGCCTACAAGTGCTACTGCTCGAAGGAGGAGCTGGAGGCCATGCGCGCGCAGGCCAGGCCTTTGGCTCGGGCTAAGCCGGAAGACAAGGGTTAGGTCTTGGGATGAGGATTTGGGGTTTTGAAGTTGGGGTTTTGGATTTAGGATTTGGGGTTTAAGGTTTAAGGGGACGCCCCAAAAGGACGGAATCACCCCAGTTTGCTTCTGTACTTCGAAGCTCGCGTGACTCGTTGCTTCAACGTTCGACTAGCGAGTGCCGGAGGCAAGGCTGCCATCAGCATCCCACGAAACTGGGTTCTTGCTTTAGAGTTTGGCGAGCTTCAGCTGAAGAGAAGGAACCCGAAAGATGTACGGAAGATGGAGGCGTACCAAAGCTCGACCTTTCTAAACATGTGGGTAGTTCTCTAAATTAGGGTTCGCCTTCTTAGGTCCCCCAATATAGTACGGCACTCTTATAAAAATCTACCCTAAACCCTGAACCCAAATTTAGAGAACTACCCATCTGGTTGTTGCGCTGCAGGCCGAAAAGGAGCACGTTCCTTTCAGATATTCTGGCCCTTGCCCGCGCCTCGGAGGGAGGGATTCTTGGGGCTTTGGGGCCTCTCTTCTGGTTTGGTGTGGTAGGTTGACTTGAAGGTTCATGTGTAGTTATAAGTGGGGTTATAAGTAGGGCAACTATTACAGTTATAACTCATATTAGGGGACTTATGACCCCGCTTCATGAACCTCCAAGGAGGGTTTAGGGCTTAGGCTGGGCCTGCTTCTTGCTGTGGAGGGCGCAACGCGGGCCCGGACCTCGTCCCTCCTCCCGACCGCCAACCCGTGGTGCGAATTCGTACACCAGACGATGACGGTGTGACAAGCTGGCAGGACTCTGCTTTCTGAGCCGAAACTGCGCCTCCTTGATGTAAGCAGAGCTATCCCTGCCACAAACCCTAAACCCTAAACCCTAACCCTATTGTAAGCAGAGCTGCAAGAATGAAGGACGGAGTGATGGGGTTGATCGAGATCCCGAACAAGGAGCCTTTGCCACTGCCTTTCACCCTTTGAAGCCCGGGACCCGAAGCCTGTCACACCCCTAAGCCCCTCAGACGAAAAGACACCGAAGCTCCAGACCTTTCTCCCCACAAACACCTAAATCCGAGACCCCTAAACCCAAAACCCTACTCCCGACTTCCACCTACAAACCTAAACCCTAAACCGACGAGGGTGACGGATGAGGCGCATGGCTCACCAGGAAGCCTTCCACAATGTGGATTCTGCCGACCTTAACTGCTAGGTGGAAAAAGGTGCTCAAAAAAAAAACAACTTTACCTAAAAACCCTAAACCCTGCAAGGACGTGGATGACTTCGTCATCCCTAAACCCTAAACCCTAAAGCCTTGGTACCTTTAGCACTTAAAACCTGAACCTAAACCCTAAACCCTAAACCCTAAACCCTAAACCCTAAACCCTAAACCCTAAACCCTAAACCCCAATCCCTAAACCCTAAACCCTACCTAAAACCCTAAAACCCTGCAAGGACGTGGATGACTTCATCATCCTCCGGGCTGACGGTACGCCGACGTATTTGCTCGCAGTGGTCGTGGACGACCATGACATGGGCGTCACCCAGGCCCGGAGCTCTGCTTACAGTAGGAATGGAGCTCTACTTCTAATAATAATAACGATAACAATAGTAATAATAGCAATAAAAGTAATAATAGTAAGAATAGTAAGAATAGTAATTATAGTAATAATAGTAATAATAGTAATGATAGTAATGATACTAATAATAGTAATAATAATATAATACTCATAACAACAGCAGAAATACCAGTAGTAATGATAATAATTTTGATGATCGCTCAAACACTGTTCTCTCTAGGACTTAAGAGGGGTATGATACCGTACAGAAGGTGTTTGCAGGTATGTGTGCATATATGTGGGTAGTGCTCTAAATTAGGGTCCCTTTTAGGGTCCTTTTTACACTATTTTGGGCACCTGAAAAGGGATCCGAATTTAGAGAACTGCTCATGGAGTGAGAGTGAACCCAAAACCCAAAACCCTAAACCCTAAACCCTAAACGCCTGCCTCAAGGTCATCCGTGGCTCAGATCACATTGGCAACACGGCCCGGCAGATCTCGGTCTTCAAGAACATGCAGCCCGACAGAGCCCAGAGGTATTTAGGGTTTAGGGTTTAGGGTTTAGGGTTTAAGGGATTTAATTTAAGTTACCATAATAGGGATCTATAGTAAATGATATGGTTTCCTTATTATGGTAACTTAAATTAAATCCCTTAACAAGAACCCATTACCCCAGTTGCCACAGTCTTCATGAGGATGACAATAATAGTAGTAGTGAACATGTTAGTTTGTGATGGTAAAGCTAGTACCTGTTTTCTAAGGGTTTTTGTATCATGCCCAAGTATTACAACCAGGATTCGGGCAGGTTGTGGGCGGTGTTGCGCATGACACTTTCAGCACGGGCTCGTGGCTGCTTGGGGCTGGGGGGCTGAAAATCGAGCAGTACTTGCGGCGGACATTCATATTACACCCAGTTTCCGGGACCTCCTCGGGAGACAGGGTGGCTGCTCGGGGCTGCTTGGGGTACGCCTATTACACCCACTTTGCGGCAGGGGCTTAGGGCGGGCCCAGCTCGTCAGCCAATCAGCGTGCTGAAAGTACGTGCCATGCGCAACACAGCCCACAACCTGCCCGAATCCTTGGAATAATACCAGGGCGTAATACAAAAACCCTTAGATGTTTAGCCGATTTGAGACATTGTGCTGCTGTCGCGTAGCCGGACTCCAGAAGCAGGCAGTAGCTTTTGATCATGAGACGCCGGATAGTTGGAGGATCGGGTGCCGTAGCGAGTAGGACCATAAGTAAGGTGGCCACAGCTCGACTTGGAGGTTCATGGGTAGTTATAAGTGGGGTCATAAGTAGGGTAACTATAGTTGTAACTCAGATTAGGGTACTTATAACCCCACTTATAACTACCCATGAACCTCCGAGTAGGACCACACAGCTCTATTTAATTACAAGGTACCTTTTAAACAAAAACGCCACCTTGCACGAAGTGCCCTGATCCTCTTAGCCCTAAACCCTAAACCCTAAACCCTAAACCCTAAACCCTAAACCCTAAACCCTAAACCCTAAACCCTAAACCCTAAACCCTAAACCCTAAGCAGTCAAAAGCTCACAAGAGCCCCGGAGCCGAAGCCGCTGAAACCCAAAAGCCCTGAGCCTCGAAAGCTCTAAAGCCTAAGGGGTGATATGCCAAGGCCCAGCAGTACCGGCAGCACCGAAACCCCTAAACCCTAAACCCTAAACCGTAAACCCTGGCCCAAACCCTGAAGCCGAAGGGGCTGGGAGCTCCCGGACTTTGCGCATCTGCCGCTGATCCACGGCCCGGATGGCAAGAAGCTGTCGAAGCGCCACGGGGCCACGGGGCTGGAGGAGTTCGAGGCCAAAGGCGCGGGAGCTCGGCTTCTGAGATCCGGTTTTGGGTCGTCTTCGGACGGTGGCTGTCGTTGGAGGAGCGGAGCTGAGGGACTAAACCCTGGGAGCCCTCAAGCCCCAAAGCAGCCTGCCGGAGTCCATCCGCAAGCCTACACCCCAAAACCCTAAACCCTAAACCCCAAAGCCCCAAAGAGTGACAGGCTACCTGCCGGAGTCCATCCGGAACCCTGCACCCCAAAACCCTTCACCCTAAACCCCAAAACTTTAAACACAAAAAAACCCTAAACCCTCAAAGAGTGACAGGCTACCTGCCGGAGTCCATCCGGAACTACCTCGCCCGGCTCTCCTGGTCCCATGGAGACGACGAAATCTTCTCGACGGAGCAGGAACCCTAAACCCTAAACCCCAAACCCTAAACCCTAAACCCTAAACCGGACGGAGCAGGCGATCGAGTGGTTCTCCCTTTCAGCCTGCTCCCGAGGAGCCACGGATCCTTCGGTTTTTTTTTGGGGTCCCTCTTAGGGTCCTTAAAGGGATCTACCATGGGTTTTTATGAGGGTACTTAAGGTAGTTTTCTATATTATGGTACCTTTTTAGGGCCCTTTTAATAAGAGTGCCGTACTACACTGGGGACCTAAAAAGGGGACCCTGATTTAGAGAACTACCCTCATGTAGGAATGTAGGCGTTCCTAATGGCAATGACAACAGGAATCGCTGTAGTACATGTAGTAATTAGTAAATCGTGGGGTTTTTGGGGTCCGTGTTGGGGGTTAGGGAGTTAGCAGAACCCTTGCCCATTTTGGGTAATAATACCACCAGTCAACCCATTAGACG